TCAGAGGATGATAAGAGATTTCTCGAAATCTTCTGACGAATATTGGCGCGTGTGTAATTTTTCTTTAATTTGAGGATCACGTTTTTCGAAAATTCACGTGAAAATTTCACGAGCGATCGTATGAGTGGAAGATAACTAATTAGAGGCTTGTTCACGTCATTTACACTGGAAAATGAAATTCACGTTTTCACGAATTATCGCTAGATTCGTTACCGTAACAAAAGAATATGGTTGTTCTGTGATTGTAACTCCAGTAATATTTTTGGAATCGCAGAGTAAGCATGAATATTCTGAAATCTTCAGAGAACTTTTACGTCGAGAAACTTTTAGCATGGTTTATAGACGATTTAATCTAGAAAATTATGCAAGTATTTTTAGTCCAGTAATCTTCATCTTCCCGAATGGTAATTCCTCGACGAAATGGAAATTACTCGCCATTTAATACCAACTGCATTCTCATCGAACAGGTTTTACGATTCGAAGGAAAAAACTACTTGTGTCGTAGAGCAGATTGTTTCATACACAGAAATGAACAAGCGATCGAGCAGCTTCCGTTTTAAGCGTTCCCACGAGGTTCAGCTTAACTTAATCCTTCGATTATTCAGAAAAAAAAAAAAAAATAAAAAAAAAAGAAAAAAAAAAGAAATGCCATATCCGTTTCTTACAAAGAAGACACGTGAAGATCGTTGTAGAAATGAAAGTGTTTCAAACGAAACACGAACGTGAACTTAAAACCTTGTCCTTTAGAAGTCTGACGAATCGAAAGTAACGCAGCCTTGGTTCTCTTCTGTGAGGCTAAGGGATGTACGTGAGTTAATTCACGTCTCACACCTAGCAAGGTGCAATTCTCCAAGCAATCTTTTCAGATTCCAATTTCTCAAAGTACATTCTAGTGAATCGTGTCTTTTCTTATCTTTTAAGGATTAAAACCGTTGCGTAAGAGAGTCCATCCTCAAAGAACGTCACCTAGACGCTATAAATCTCTATATCGAATTACAGAAAATTAACTCGAGTCTTCTTCAGGCAGTCCGAACAACCGTTACGCAAGAATTTATATCGTAAAAAAAATTCGCGTAATCACGACCGATCTTCATGCCCATTGTACGAAAATTTAATCATATTCGCCTCGATTGGACAATTATCTCCCTTCCGTGCACAATTCGAGGCGATCATTACACGAGAACGCAGCTCTGAAAGGAGGCAACAAATCTTTACACCCAAGTCAAGCGATCAACTGCACAACTAACTACGAAGGAAAACAGCGCATCAAAACGTAAGAAAAACTTAATCAATTCGATTGCACACTGTTAACTGTAACAGCTAACCGCCTATTTAACTTAGATTCCATATTCCAATAATAATGCGCTAACGCAACATCCTCTCAGACTCATTAAACCGTTCCAATTACCTAGGCACTAGCACTGATTTTCCCTCGATGGTATACACAGGGTGTACCGATAATTCTGTTAGAAGATTATAACACAACATTAAAAATAAACCGCGAAGACGTTTGAAATTTAAAGGTGGAAAAATCTGCACAGAGTACACACGACATGGAAAAATATATAAAGATTTCGAGCGTACGAATTTAATCTTACTTTCACGATCGATCAAGTTTCCAACTTCCGGATTTAAACAAAAAATTTAATTGAACTTTGCGAAAGCCATATGTGTACATTGATCCACTATTTTCTTTTAATACTGGTCAGAATGACCAATTTGTAATTTTTGCATATTTTACAAATGTAAAAGAGTGTATCTTTAGAGAGAGTTAAATGATTTTTCGTAAATGTACGTATTTTCTTTTTTACTTTAACATCTCTGATGGAAATTTTCCATTTTAATCGCCGGTAATTCTAGCTCTATTAACTTTTAACTCCTGCAATATCCTTCTCGTTCGAAAACAACGAAGAAGTAGCAGGTGAACGAAACGAAGAGGGACACCTGGTACAGATCGTTAGGCGAGAGAGCCATCGTGTTTCCGTGATTTCCACTCGTCGTCGTTCAAGCCATCTTCACTTTGCGCGTGTACTTGCGTACGCTTGCGAAATCTCTCGGCGTCCTCTCCGCCTGTGGCCGCCGCTTCGTGCGCGCACACGCGTCATTATGCACGGTTATCGTTTCACGATGGAACGCCGTCGACAATTTGCAATCTGGGTGGGGGGAGATCCCTGCAATTTTCAATCGACGCTCCCTCGTGCCCATTATCCCCGCCGCTCTCGCGGCACCGATCGTTTGTTCTTCGCGTTTTTCTGAACTTGTATCATCCGCGGATACCGCCAGGTCGCACGGCGCACGGCGTTTAATATAGAGATTGCTCTGGCACGTTGCGCAACGCAGATGTCAGTGAACGCAGTTCAACAGTGCCTCGTTGCGAACGTTTAACGCGACGCTCGTCGTGACGTTCGATCGAAGCGTCGGGTTAGCAGAGAACTGGCGAGCTCTCACACTGATTCGAGAGAGAATTTATTTCTCATTTTTCTCTCTTTCTCCGAACGGAGGAGAGATTAATTAGTATTCTAAGTAC